GTGGAGATCTACTGGACTACATGAGCGACTTCTGGAAAGACTTCAGGGGCGATGATGCGAATCTCTGGGAACATGAGTGGAACAAGCACGGCACTTGTGTCAGCACGCTAGAGACTCACTGCTACACCGACTACTACCCACAGCAAGAGGTCGTAGACTACTTCGACCGGACAGTCGAAGTCTTTCGAACCCTGCCCACCTATGAGGTCTGTCTCCCTGCATTAGTTGACGAGAAAGGGAACTAAACATTTATCTGTTCAGACCCTCGCCAAAGCCGGCATTACCCCCTCCTACACCCAAACCTACACTCGCGATGAGATTGTCAATGCTCTGTCCAAGGCCCATGGTGCCGAGGTGACAGTCCGATGCCGACACCAGGCTATCAACGAAGTCTGGTACTACTTCAACATTGCCGGGCCACTGCAGACGGGCAAATTCGTCCCATCTGACCCAGGTCAGCAAACCAACCACCTCATAAGTGACTGAAACTAACAACTACAACAGATGGCCAAACATCCAACTGCCCCCGCAGTGGCATCCACTACATTCCCAAGACTCCCCGAAACGGTCACGAGCCCACCAAGACATCCCGCGGACCTGCTGAGCCGACAGCACCGAGCTCTCCCTTTTCAGGAAAAGGGAACCTGATGATCTCAACGAACGGCCAGAAGCGAGGCTGCATCATCAGCCACGGCGCATGGTTCACCTCGGGAACCTGTGCGACTTTCACGGCCAATAAGGCGTCTGGTATGTAATCTCCGCGATGCTTCCCCCCATCAGGTGGGCAGTCACTGACCAACGACTCTTCTTGACTCCGCAGATGACACTGTCACCCTGAAATCCAGCAAGGGGGACTGCGGGTTCTCGCATGATGTCTTCACCTGCGGCGGGTTCATCAGGTCCCCAACTCAATTTACTGTAAGCATCCCGGCCCATCCCAACCAAAATACACGTGCACCCCCACCAAAGCACCTGATGTAGACTTTAACTAACCCCTTCCAGGTCGAAGACGGCATGCTCGCCTACAACGACAACACGACCTTTTTCGCAGACAAGGCACCCAAAGGGCCAACGAAGAGCAAAGTCTTCGCGACGCAAGACGACCACCCTCTCGAACTCTCCATCACATGGAGAGAAGCATAATCCCACTTCATTCAACTTTCTCTTCTTGGTCTTGTTGCCATATACAACATCCAAACGCACATAGAATCATACATGTTTCCATATATTTTTGCATTTCCGGCATACTGTACAAACCATACACACTGTTAACTAGTACAACCTATGTTCTGAATGAAACAAACCTATAGAACTATACAAAAAAAAAAAAAGTAATCCATTCAAGCATCGTTGACATTCATGGGGAGTCAGTCAGTTCTATCATAAAGCTAAAGTACAGGCGAGGAGGGAAAGCGCCATGCGAAAACCACCAAGACAAAATTGATGATAGCAGGGGTAAGTAGGCGATTAAGTAAGTTCGTCAGCAACCAAACCAAAGGAGAGTATCAAGAATGACTTTTGTTTTGCAATGCCAGCCAGTAGAACGAAGATGCAATAGTAGCATAAAAGAGGAAGAAGATAGAAGTTTTTACAGATCAACCCGTTCGTCCGTTTCGTTCACATATCACAATCCATCAGCAGTTAAAGGCAAAGCCAAATGACACAAGGAAATAGATAAAAAGCAACAAAATCAGATTCAATAACATAGCATAACATCATAAAAGGGTTCATCAAGGAGACAAAGAAAAGACGTTACAAACATTCATCAAGATCAATCAACACGTAAAGAGTCAGATAAAATAAAGAAAAGAACGGACGACCTGTAAAAACTCCATAATTTGACTGGCCAGAAAACATAGAAAAGTCATTTTATCTTGCAAACAAAAAAACTCCCAAGATATTGCAGATAAATCCCGGGGGTTCAGAATGGTTGTTGGTTGGTGGTCGTACATGGTGTCATTGAGCGAGAAAGAAGCATAAAAGTCAAATGCAGTAAGCGCCAAGGAGAAAAAGCAGAAAGTTCATATGCCCGAAAACAATATTTCTTTTTGGAAACGTTGTTCTTGTTGTTGTCACAGTTCATCAGTTTGCAGTGGATAAAATTGGTCGTTGGAATGAGTTAGGTCGTAGAAGTGAAATGAGGGAGGGAAATTGTACATGGTTCTCGTGTCGTAGTGTAAAAAGGGAAGAAAAGGCATAAAAATCATTTCGCGTCTTATATGCATGGGTTCCAAATCATTTGCGGTCCTAAATCGTCAAAAGTCTTGCACATTTGGCTGGTAAGCCTGAGTCGTTGCATCGTCAAAGTTCGCCGGTCATTTGATGTTTATCGTTTTCCGTGTCATCTTTCTTGTCGGTCGTTATTTAGGTTTTTGTTCCGTTATGGTCGTTTCTCTTTAATCCATGAAGAAGTCTTTGGTCATCACATCCGAGGCTTGTTCGTCCACTTGGAATTGGAAGAAGAAGTCGTCGGCCATGACGGGGCCCGAGGAGAAGGGCTTGTTGGGGAACAGTTCTAGACCACCTTCAAAGGACGTCGTGTTCACATAGTCAGGGAATGGCGCCATGTCAGAGTCAGCCAGGTCTCCGAATTCGGGCTTTCCGAAACTAGACGTCGAATCTTGGCTGATAAAGATGTCGAGATCAGATCCATTGGATGATTCGGACAGGGTGGGAGCAGCATGGGGCGACGATAGAGAGTGGCTGGCAGCACCGGAAGCATCTGTGTACGGGCATGTCTCCGGGTCAGACATGTAGGGCAAGCTGGAGTCCGTGACGAGGCTCTCGAGAGGCTGCTTTGATGGGGAGGAAGGAAGCATTTCGTCTTCTGAGTTGGGGGTAATCGATCTCTCGTCCCGAGAAGGCGACGGCTTGATTCCCACGCTGTATCCGGGAGATGCAGGAGGCGTAAACGTGAAAACCTCTGGTGGCAACGAGTAGTTGGGGTTGTTGAACACCGGCATCTCTTCCGCTGGGCTAGAGCCGTGGAGACTCATATTCTCGAAGACTTCGGAAGGAGGCGTGTTGCGTGAGGACTCGGATGTGGAAGAGTCGAAAGATGACTTCTCTGCGATCCTCTGGCGCGTTCTCGATGCTTTGTCTTGCCTCTCATCCATCTCTGGTCTGTGCTTCTTCGGACGACCCCGTTTCGTTGTCTTGCGCACAATGCCCTTGTAGCCGCCAATACACATACCACGCTGCCGGTGTCGAGTCAAGGCGTCGTGTCTCGCAAACACATTACCGCATAGACACTCATAGGGTTTGTCGCCGGTATGAATTTTAGCATGACGCTTGAGGTCGTGACCCCGAACAAAGCACTTGTTGCAATGATCGCACTTGTACTGGCGGTCCCCCAGGTGGGTCTGCACATGTGACTTGATATTCTCCTTTCTTCCAAAGCGGCGCTCGCAGCCCGGGTGCAGGCACACCCATTTTCCGTCCTCCGGGTCAGGTCCGTGAATGTACGACGCAATCTCGTCAATGGTGACACCCGTTTCTTTGATTGAGGCTTGCACGCGAGCGTCGAGATTCAAGTTATCAATGGATGCGACGCGTGGAGAAAGCTTCGGCTTGGCCGCTGAGCTAGGGGTTGCACTGGGCGTCTTCCTGTGGTGCGGACGATTGGGAGTGGCAGGATAAATAGGGATTTTTGGTGTCTTTGCACCGTCTTCGGGGCAAGGCATAGCCGCAAGCTCGGGAGATGACATGAAGGATGACGATGCTGACGACGACGAGGCATACTGGCTTTGTGAAAGACTTTCCGACTTAGGAACCTCAAAGCTAGAACCCTGCTCATAGTTAAAGGTATCAAAGTTATCCACTTCAAATGATGCTGTGTTCGGGGGGGAGGACACATCAAACTTCTGCTGCGTGAAAGTAGTTCCAGCCACGCCTTGGAGAGACTTTGCTCGCTGCATGTACGACGACTGGGCTGATCCGGGCATCGCGCTACCCTGGTCTTTGGTGGAACCTGACTGGATGTCCCCACCGTACTGAGCTAGGCCCACGGTTTGCTTGAATGGTGTTGTCGCTGGGGTAATCGGCGCATACTCTGCACAATGCATTAGTATCTTGCGCTTAGCAGAGACCTGAGGAGTCATAAACGTACGTGTATTGCCGTGCTTAGGCGTATGCGGGTGCTGAGACGGAGTAGCTTCCGACTGCACCGATAACTTCCTTACATCAGCTTGACCGGGAAAAGTTGGCTGGTAAAAGTCCCAAAGTCCCGTCTCGAAAAATTGACCTTCCGTTCCAGATCCGCACGGAACCTTAGCGCTGTGCATCTGTTGTTGCTGCATCAGGTCGAAGTGCATGTTCATGTGCGGAACGTCCTTCCCGAAGGGCGCATTCAGGTAGGCCATACTTGGTTGACTATCCTGGCCATTGTGACTTTGAAGGTTTTGCACCTCTTCCGGGGTGAAGCAGTCGGTGATGACGGGCATGGGAGCTGATTGCTGGGGAAACGACGGCTGCGCTACACACAGGTATCGTTGGTGTTGGCTGTCCCCAAGCATATTCGGATGATGCGGCTGCGGTACTGTTGTGTTAGTAGTATGAGTTGTACCATCTTGCATGGATTGCGATCGCTGGACACGCAAAGCTCTGTTCTCAAAACTCTGTCCCCGACGATGGGCATGATAACGATGCATCGCTTGCGCCGGAAGACTGGGGGCTTTCACGGCATCAAGAGCGGACGGCGTCGAGATCTGCCGCCTGTGTTGTCGATGTCGCTCATGGAGGTTGCTGTGCGCCGTGGACAGCATGATGGGCGAAAAGGGACTCTTTCTTCGAGCGCTTATCGCAAGGTGCTTGATCGACGGATTGACAGACCTTGGTGTTTGGTCGGATCTGGAGGATTTAAATGCGTAAGCTTTCTGCACCATGTTACTGTGCAAGAATTCACATCCAGCGCCGAGAGTTACCAACCTCACGCAATACTAGCCACGCGGCTGGGCCGACAAGATGGTAATGAACCGCCCTGCAGTGGTGTCAGTCGGTGATCTCCTCAATTAGAACACTCACGCTAGGAAGAAAAAAAGGTTAAAGAAGACGCAGAAGAAAGAAGGAAAGCAAGCGCAGCAGTTAAGGAATTAACGCAGCCTCTGCACTAGATCTATGCAAAGGAAGATTTCTTGCGACAGCTATTTAGAATGCGCTGGACAAGTCGCAAACTGAAGATGCAATCGAAGCCCTTATAAAAAGCTTCCCTGCAACGCGAATTGGTAGAAACGGGCTGAATACTCCTGCTTCAATAAAGGTTGGGGAAGATGGGAAGGTAAGAACCAAGGAAGTCTTTTAAGGTATTTAGAGGTGGGAACCAGGGAAAGGTGGATGGAGATGATGAAGCTATCCCGATCTATCGCCCACGGTTCAGATCAACAATGGCGTGGTTGGCCTAGCAACGGGGTCGGCTGAGGCGTCAGGGAAACCAGCGCCCCTTGGCATGGAGCCCGGCGATTTGGCCAGCGCAGTGGATCGCGCCCTGGTTCCAGCACGGAGCATTAGCAGCCCGCCGCAGCAACCAGTGGTCCGAACACAATTAAAGCTTACGATCCGGCAGGTTTAGTTGCAACCTGCAAGGAGGTTGCTTCTCGCCTGGCTTCTCCCAGCGGTCCAGACAACCACCCTATCTCCATTATCGATCTAATCCCACATTTTGCCTCTTATAAATGACGGGAGGAGGCGACCTGTGGCCTGTGAGGGTTTGAAACATTATTTCACCCTTCCTCTGCAATAGCCCATTTAATAATTGACTCCTGTCCGCATGTTATTCAATCAATAATTAGCAACTGAGCGGAGGGATGGGCGGGCAAATGATGACGATGACGAAGTTGACGTCGATGCGCTGAGAGGCTGGATTTGCACCAAGTCTAACTAGTTGGTTTTAGTTCTAGTCGTACTTTCTGCCTGGCTTTTCCGGGCCGTGTTTCTGCCTGGCGATGCAGGCACCAAAACTGACGTATCCAAGAAACCGTTGTCAAAAGTCGTCAGTCAGCAACATCAACATCCCGTGACCTCAGCCGCAGACCATCACATGACCGAGGACCCGGAGGGCTGATTATCCGAATGGTCCACCCGCGCTACGCCCGACTCGGTAATATGGTCACCACGTGACCGCACAACCGATTTTAACGAAGCCCACCACCACCGAGGATATTTTCCTACCACGATCGTCGAAGGTTTAGGAAGACAAGTCTTGTCGAGGTGAGTTGAGCCCCCTATACATCTACTATGTGACAAAGGAAAAAAGGGATTCAATATTATGTGCGACATCTCATCGTCATCTCTTTCACATATTCCAGAGGAAGAAAATCTCGTGCACAACTTCGCGCGCAAGATACCAGAAATCCTGGATGGCGAAAATATGTGTCCAAGAAATGAAGATGAGATGCGAAACGCCGATGATATTCAACCCTTATCTTCGCTCAAACTACCAAGTAGAATAATCAACTAACAACCTATTTTCTTTCAAATCAGACCTTCATCAAGATGCAGATCTTCGTCAAGACCCTCACGGGTAAGACTATCACCCTCGAGGTGGAGTCCTCGGACACCATTGACAATGTCAAGTCCAAGATCCAGGGTAAGCATACACACACGGCCTACATAATCCAGTTAGAACATATTCTAATGATGATGATGTTCAGACAAGGAGGGTATCCCCCCCGACCAGCAGCGTCTGATCTTCGCTGGTAAGCAGCTCGAGGACGGCCGTACTCTTTCGGACTACAACATCCAGAAGGAGTCTACCCTCCACCTGGTGCTCCGCCTGCGTGGTGGTGGTAAGAAGCGCAAGAAGAAGGTCTACACCACCCCCAAGAAGATCAAGCACAAGCACAAGAAGACCAAGCTTGCCGTCCTCAAGTACTACAAGGTCGACGGTGATGGCAAGATCGAGCGTCTTCGCCGCGAGTGCCCCTCCCCCGAGGTATGTCTAATATTCCGCCTTATGGCTGAATCTTGCTGGTGGCGCATCTTACTAACTTTGGATCTCCTAGTGCGGTGCTGGTATCTTCATGGCCGCTATGCACAACCGCCAGTACTGCGGAAAGTGCCACCTCACCTACGTCTTCGACGAGTCCAAATAAATGGACTAAGTCGATCGTTTCGCCATGTCTTCTTTCCGGTAGCGCCTAGCAATGTCGGTCGTGAATGTGTGGTGGATGAGGTTGGGACGTGTGCGCTTTGATCGTCCCATAGTGCCCGAGCAATGAGAAATGAAAAAAATTCGAAATCGCTCTCAATTTAGACTACCTAATACGTAGACAAACCACATGTAAATGAGGAAAGCCTGCTCAACTAAACTGATAGATAAATGAGGGTATCAATCGCTCTACTGAAATGCGTTCCTCAGGTTGTCGTACTTGCTCTCAGGGTAGGAAAGCACATTCTGCGATTGGTCGAGGGCTGACACGCCTCCAATCCCTTCCACGAAGGTTCCAATCAGACTGCCGTCAGCTTTGTTGGCCGTCTTTCCTCCTTTGTCGCCGCTGGTTTCCCACCACATGCCACCGCCGAGCTGAAGCTTGGTGATATAGTCCAACTTCATCTCGCCCACGGCCACAGTGTCGTAGGAAACCATAGTGCGTGCCGTGGGATCATAACTCCAGGATGCACCCAGGCTGGCATCGACATGTTCAGTGGCTCCTGTTCTGGGCAGCGCTTTGTAGTCCCAGACACCTTGCTCCCAGCTTCCCTGTCCGACCCCCGAGAATGCGGTCCCGGGTCCATCAGTGTTGGTAAAGGCACGCCCATACAGCGGCATTCCCAGGATTATCTTGGACGAGGGGACCCCACCCTTCTGGATGTAGTAATTCACTGCCTCATTGGTTGAGAATGGCGTCGACGCTGGCTTGTCAGCCGAGGGATACAAGTTGGCTTGATGACCAGCAACAGTGTCCCAACTTCCAGCATAGTCGTAGGCCATCAAGTTGTAGAAGTCCAGGTATGGCGTCATCTGAGACAGCTTGAGCTTGGTGTAATTAGCAGGACCTACATGAGATCAGCATTCACTGGGTCTGACTTGGTCTCGCCCCGAGTAGAAACAAATAATATAATCCACTTACCAGCTGGACAAGCGATAGTGAGAAGGAACTTCCTGTTCGCACCAGCAGTCGCATCCAGAGTCTAGACAAAGTTAGTGCATGCGTGCGCGCATTACGATCGAGGAGAAAGCTCACCTCACGGCACTTCTGAAGCAGAAGGACCATATTTTGCGCTTCTGTATCATCTGTAGGTAGTCGTCTTAGTATCCACACCTAACTGGTTACTCATCTCCCCAACAATCCGACAAACTAACCTTTGGGGTACTCCCAATCGATATCGATGCCTGTAATCACCAGCATTAGCGAATCATGTCCCACGTATTGCCACAAACCAGTCACATACCATCGAATCCAAGATCAGTGACCAGTTTAGTTGCAGTCTCAGCAAACTTAGTGCGGCCAGCATCAGTGCTAGCGGCCTGAGCGAAATTGGGAGAGTAGGTCCAACCGCCAATGGAGAGCAAGACCTTCAACTTCCTATTTTGCTGCTTGAGCAAAAACAACTGCTTAACACAGCCATAGACATTGGTACCGACGTCATTCCAGGAGTCTGTGGGGTAGTGCTTCTCAATGTCCGACCAGGTGTCGGACAGATAACTGTGGCGAGAAGTCAGTGCGGCTGATCCGGTGGCAAGGGGGTGATCAGCCATGTGCTGCAGAGAAGTGGAGAGCTTACACTTCACCAGTGTCCGGACGAACGTTAGCAAATGCGTATAGGACATGAGTCAGCTTGTCGGCCGGGATGTCCTGAGGATTGTAGTTGCGGCCATAAATCGCCTAGCATTGGCATTAGAACAACTACTATACGAGTGGACTGGCCTCCCGTGTCGGGTTGGGATACGGCAGCCAAGATCGAGTGCATGCTCACCCAATTGACGAAGTAGGCCACGGACTTCAGACCAGAAGACATGGCTGGGATGGTAGCGTTCGTGTCGGTAGTAGGTGCAGAATTGGGCTGGAGCGGAAGCACAGCTGCGTCATTCCAAAAGTACCGAGCAGAAAGGATAAGAACAACGATGAAAAGTACGAGACAGTGGATCAATCGCGAGAAAGCCATGGTCGGCAATAATCAAAAGCACTTACCAGCATGCAAGAGGCTGGTAAGCAGAACCCGGGAAGAGTCAGTCGGAAGGAATGAACGATGCAGCAGGGGGGGGTGGGATGATTGTACCTGCCTTAGGTCACCTCTCCTGTATGGTACTAAGTACACTATATAAATAACAGCAGTTCGGACTTCTGATTGGCTCAGGGTCAATCGCGGCGGTGCAACTGTGGCTGCAGGAGACAGGTGGTCTGCGCTTATGTGATCATCAAAATGTGGCTGACTGGGATTTCAGGAAGCTGATGGGCATCTACTGCTACTCCAAGAATCTAATGGAAGAATCCCGAATTTATATCTCTATTCAGTGAATAGCACACTGTCATGTTCGGCTTGTGAAGCCCTCTTGAAAAGAGGTGCCGTCGGTGGCGTCGGTCATTTCTTGTCTGACCATGCCATGCTCTGAATTGTAAAAGATAGTCTTCCTGGCAGTATAGGGCTCCATGGCTACGACACTATATCGTGTGCTTCCTTGATAGTTCACCTCTCGGGGAGGTTAGATGAGACTAGACCGGGTAGAACAGGGCGGGGACGCTTAAAATTCCTCAAGTGATCTGTGCCTGAGTATCTGTCACGAGAACAAGGAGATCGGCTATCGGGGAGGGACCCTGGTTCGACAATCCAATCCCCAGACTTGCATAGATCGTCCCCGGTGCATCTCAGTTCAGATGACATTCCTAAGGGAAATTACCAAGCGCATGATGTATCTCGGGGTAGTTCACGTCTCCGGAGATATCATGGGAGCTGAGGTTACAACTTCCCGACGTCCGGCATGACCGTGGGTAACATCGAAGTAGCAGGAATTCTATGGTCCAGTGCTCTGTGATGAGCGGTAGTTCAAAAGTATAGGCCACGTAAGGGAGCATTGAATGACTTGTTCCGACCAGACCAAGTAATTAGGATGCGAGGTGGGAGCGCGCGCATGATGCATCTCGCTTTGTTCTGGACTATGGAGACCATCACAACTACCGATCTCATCCTCGTCAAGATCGAGGCACGGGGAGACAGGGGTAGATGCAACCATAGTGGTAGTAGCTATTAGTTCTGTAACGAGTAGAAAGCATTGTCGAGGCACGGTCGAATGAGAGGAATAGCGGAAACGAAATTAAGGAATGAGCATTCCCGGTTGTACCATGGATCCTGGCCGAACGTGACAGATGACACTAATCCTGCAACCTCGTGGCCTAGGTTTGGGGACCCATCGACGACCAAAAGGGACATCAACTCTCAGTCACTAGATAGATAGGTAACTAAATTAGTTTGGACCAGGATACGTAGTCATCACCTTGATAGTAAAACAAGAGGGTCCATCCGGGATAGATGATCAGTGAGCGGCAGCAAGTCCGACGGGATCCCCGCCTCGCCAGTGACTGAAAGCCCTAAACCAGACCAGGAAACAGATTAAGAAGAATTAAGAACGTGAAAGCGACCGAGTGGATCAGTTTCCTGGACCTTCTCAGCTGAAACCTTTGCCTCTACCGCACGGCCGGGGCACTGATTGGCGCGTGGGACTTTAAGCTACTGCAGGGCACGGTTGCACGGCCACAGTTTGAATCCACCAGCATTGCAATTTGGAGCAGATCTGCCAAATCAGAATTTGACCTGCGATGAAAATTTTTTTCAAACTGGTTGAGAAGAATGGACAGATCTCAAGGGAACCGCCGTGCATCTGCGTCAGAGGCTAGTCCCCTAATGACTTTTTTTCCTTTGACTTTCTGCTTTCTCCAACCCATCTCCATTTCGCTTTCCGGGCGCATGCAGCAATGGATCCTCCCCGCCCCATCCAGTTCAGCTGGGATGTCCTCGACCAGCTGCACCCAAGATTTTAGCAGCGACCCAGCACTTCGGTAACTCCGGCGGCTGTCATTGGATGAGTCGAACGTGAGGATCTCGTTTCGTGTCTGTCTGTCGCTCCGGCCAGAGCGTTTCGCCCCTCGACACGGTAAATTTGACGCCAATGAGAAAAATTCGACTCCAGCAATTCAGCTGGTAGGCCGTTTCCCGCATCAACCCTAGCCATGTGGACAAACTGGAACCTACTTACTACTATTCCGAGCAAACTCAAAGGTTCCCGTTTCAAAAATTCTGGATAATTATTCGAGAATTCTCCCCCTTCTCCACATTAACCCGTCGGGTCCACAGCGCGGGCTTGCCGACTGCTTGACAGGAAACGACTGGCAAGCCACGCGCTATCATCCTTCTCTTTCGACATCATTGTGGCGTGTCGCAGAAGTAGACCGTTGCCCATGTGGATGGTTTTGGTCGTACCAATTCCCTCGGCTAGGGGGAGAGATTCGTAACATGCCAAGGACTAACAAGTACTATCACCGATAGACTGATTGTTCGCTTCAGCTTTGCAGAGCGGAAAATTGATCCGTCAATAATGAGGAAAGTGTCGGAGTCGCACTAGTCTACCGCTAAGGCAGCAACATCCCTGCCTTGGGTTGCATACTTGCATCGATAGTCTCAAAATAATCTGGCTGCTCGGAACAACTCCAAGGAAATTTAGGGGAATAATTACCAAAACAAAAAAGCACATTGAGAAACAAAAATAGAGTAAATTGACCCTCGCGGGGGATATCCAATTAAATCGCATCTAGCGTAAGCCATAATTCAAGGGGGATATCATGACATGAAGGGAAACCGAACAAAGTAGCAGATCAACATGAAAGCCGAAAAAGGGTAAATGCAAAGAAGAAAAAGTATAACCGAACATAAGAGGCGTATCATAGGGAATCAAACAGCTTTTCTTTTCCAAAAACAGAACGTGACGAGCGACCTGCGCCCAAAAATTGCGGATAACAAACCGCCCACATCATGGGTATACCGAAATAACCAAGCAAATTGGTGCCGTAAGCCCGAAAAACCATTCAGAACATCATATATCCGTACACTGCAACTTCTCATCCTCCCGAAAAAATCAGGTGTATAGTAAGTTGCACATCGTGAGCCCAGCAATTCATGGGTGAGAACGGATCCAGGTAAGGATCACGGGCAGGGAAGGATCGTCGGCAAGCCAGTGACCTGCCCGCGTGTCTGCAGCCCGGAGATCAGCAACGACGTATTGGTCTGTCACTTGTGCCATTTCCTATTGTTGTATTCAGGGTCAGTCAATGGTTCAATGACCGTCGGGCTCAAGGCCTGCTCACCTGTCGGAACGTGTTGCTCACAGTCTTGAGTTGAGCAGCGTGTTGAGGTCCAGGTTGTTGTCCTCGCAGGATGTTCTGACGGTTGATAGCCCATCTTCTGGCGGCTGCCACGCGAAGGTAGATGCGATGGGCTTGAAAGCGCCGGGCGCTGGCATCAAGAATCACTCTCTGCAACTCCGCCTTCTCCGTCTCCACGTTCGACTGGG